AAGACATCACTGCCACTCACAAGTTACAGATGATTTACAAGTCCCATGAACAGTTATCAGCCCTGCAGGAACAGATGATGCTTTTCCAAGAATCACTGGTTGAGCAACCAACAGCAATTTTCTGGTCCATCTTCCTTGAGATGTCAGACATTCTTCACAGGTTTATCTACTACCAGCGAGAAGCTGACTGGATAGGACATCCCTCTGAATCATCATGAATGCTACCTTACCTCATAGCAACAGGGCACTACAAATATGGGCAGCAGTCTTTGCCTCTCTATCTGGCTGAGATGAAGAAACTACCTAAAACAGCCCCAGATGTACATGAAGCACTAATAGCAGGTGCATTTATCGGGAGGAGAGCAGATGGCAAGCGCAATATTGTCTCTCTTGACATATTCTGGAACAGACTTACAATGCAGATGCCAAGGAAGCGAGTGGTCTAGATGGCATTACACTAAACCCTGCCGCACGGATGAAATTGGTTTACACAAAACCCATCACTGCTGCTGTCTTTGCAGAGTTGATATCGATGCTACATCTTCATTCATCCAGCCCTCACCATGAATCTGGTGCAAGTCGATTCACAAGGGGTGCAGAGATGGTGATCAAGGTAACGGCAGCAGTCGAGAAGAATCCATTCGGTGAACCCTAACCCTAACCTTAACCCTAACCCTGATAAATATAGCAACTGGGCAATGCACTGATTGCAACGTTAATAAGGACAACCTTACCAGTGTGAAAAAACTGGGTCTGGAGGCACTCTCAGTCACTGAGCAGTGATCAGAAGAAGACAAGTACTGTGAAGCTGAACACCTTCCACACACAAAACAAGAAACCAAAGAAGTCTGCGGCCAAAACAGCTGCATCGGGTAAGCGTAATGAAATAACTGCCCTTCTGAGTACGACACAGATCATTGCCACTGGTGGAGAACTAGACACTGTTGACTTCACAGGGAACCACGAAGGCAGTGAATACTCACCATCTCTCTTCCAGGATGATGGAAGAATGAGAACAGGTACCAAGTCAAGCCTAGTGAAAACCCTGAAAGAGGAGACCAAAGTGACCAGCACTCCTGCTCTGCCCCAACATGACAGAAAGACAGCAGTAGTCATGCCCCTTTCCACAAAGGTGAAAGATTTGGGACCATTGCTGAACGATAGAAATACTTGCTAGTGAATCATGTGCCTGCTGGTACTGAGTGCATACACTTCTGCTGTGACAGGTACAGTGGACCAAGCCTGAAGTCCGCTGAGCAAGACCACAGGTATGCCCTATCAAAACCTGCCAAAGAATATGAAGTCAATGACCATTACACAGCTCCTACGGGGCGCCATGCAGGACAAGCATTTTTGTACCTATAAACTTGACAAAAATGAGTTTTGTGAACACAAAACTCAATTCTGTCAATCCTGTCCCACAAAACTCAATTTTGTGAACACAAACTAAGATTTCTGTCAATCTGTACCACACAAACTCAATTTGTAAACACAAACTCAACTTCTGTCGAACGGTTCAAAAAACTCAATTTGTAAACACAAACTCAATTCTGTTCGAACCGGTTCCAAACTCGATTTTTGTTGCCAAAATTATGGCAACGCATGTAAGAAGGGTACCATTGGTCGCAAACTGGGCTGGATAAATGTGTCATGCGTCGCCATTTGTTCTTCTGACCAGATGAGTAGCTCTTCTTACATCGGCGACGTGCGCCATATTTGCGGCAACAAAATCGAGTTTGTGAAAAACGGTTCGACAGAATTGAGTTTTGTGTGTCAAAATTTGAGTTTCTGATGGGACAGAGCTTGACAGAATTTGAGTTTGTGTTCACAAAATGAGTTTCTGTGGGACAGGATTTTGACCAGAATTGAGTTTTGTGTTCATCAAAATTGAGTTTTGTGGGACAGGGATTGACAGAATGAGTTTTGTGTCCACAAAATTGACTTTTGTGAGACAGAATTGAGTTGTGTGCACAAAAGTGAGTTTTGTGAGACAGAATTGAGTTTTGTTAGACAAAATTCAGCCCTGTCCTGCATGGCGCCCCGTAGCTCCTGACCCACTAGAATTCTTTGCAGTGGCAGCAAACAAGGCTAACCTCCTAAACTTCCTCTGTGAGAAATCGTGCGAGAATAAGCATCTGGACCTTGCTGTTGGCCCAACTCGTCTCTACCTGGGTGGTGGATTCACAGAAGAGACGAAGAGCCTATTAATCACAAGAGAGTCTGTTATGGAAGTTCCTGCTCTAGAATCGACGCAGAAAGAGGCTCATACAAGGATAATTCTGCACACTCTGTACAGTGTCCAGAATGACGGAGTTGAAAGAGTAGTTATCCACTCCAATGACACAGACATTATTACCATGTGTCTACACTATGGAGAAACACACCTGAGAAATCTACCAGAACTATGGGTAAGGACAGCCCAGTACACATACTTACCAATCCATGAAAGAAGTGAGAACGAATGAAAGTGAATGCGAAATCGAGAGCGAGCAAGAGAGGCAAATGTAGAGAAAGTCAATTATGCCTATAGAAAAATAGTGCGACAGGGAGAGGCTGCTTAATAGCTTAGATAGCGGGAGAACTGGGGCGATCTCAAATGAGATATGTTGATATATATATATATAGAGAGAGAGAGACAGTGAGAGAGAGAGAGAGAGAAGAGAGAGAGAGAGAGAAAGAGAGAGAGAGGGAGAGAAAGAAAAATAGAGAGAGATTGAAGGATGAGGAATGTTAAAGTCTTAACGGAGACGGCGAGGATGGCGAGGAGAGATGGAGCATGCTTGTGACGTCAGAAACAGGTATTCTCCGCCTTTACGGAATCATTCATGAGCGTCTGCGCTTGATTAGCGTCATTAGCAACCACTGTTCACGCGAACCACACATCGGTAACACGCATCAATTACTCACACAATGGCGTCGGGTTTTAACAGGTGCGAGTCAAGCTCTCTTTCAGTGATGTCAAGCTAACTGCTGTATTATAAGTTATGATTATGAACGCTACCTGTGCGAATAGCGTATATTCAGCGTTGGCATTAGATGTAATATGTGGCCTATAAATAATTTTAATATTATAATAAATAATATGTGGTCATAATATTATATATATGGGTGTGTGCGCGCGCGCGCGTGTGTGTGTGTGCGTGTGTATGTGTGTGCGTGCGTGTGTGTGTGTGTGTGGGGATGTGTGTGTTTGTCTGTCGGAGTCCGTGCGTATGTGTGTGTATGCGCGCATG